CAATACATCAATCTACGGTATACATGATATTTTTAAGAATAAATTTGATATTAAAATGTTTTTTCTCCTTCTTTTTGCGTAATGGTGCTACCCTTTACATATCGCCAGTATCGAGTTTTCCGCTTAGTAATTTTAAGGGCTTCTGTGTATTAACATGTAGTATGTCTCTTTAATTTGACGTATAATATTTGTGACACATTATTTATTAGTCCAGACCAGCGTAATTTTGTGACTTGTGAGTCGCGTAGTTTGAGAGGCGTAGTTTGCACTGCATTCGGTTTCATATAAAAGTACGGTTTGTTTCACACGACGACGCTAAATGAGTTATCTGCCTACTCACGGGCGTAATGACGACTGACTTTCGGTCGCATTGAGTGACGGGCTGACGCGGGTGGAGGTAGGGATGAGGGAAGGGGTCACTTTGGTATAAACGCTTAAAAAGCAACTGAATAAAATAAACGTTCGTCTGACGCTCCAACCGAATTCCGGTCGAGCGCAAACTGCGCAACGCAAATAACGCAACTCACAACTCACAAAATTATGCTCGTCTGACCTCACCCTTAGATAATAAGTTAAAATATACAGGTAAGAGCCTATCTGCCGTGTCACACCAATCTCACTTATTTTTTAAATCATTAGTTTTGGGAAACTAAGTTTGAAATGAATTTTATGCAATATCTCAAAATCGTGTAACTAACTTCTACAAAAACAATTGTTTAACGCAAAATCGATGTAATGAACCTTTCCTATAACAGGCTTTTTTGTCTTTGTAAGTGTCATCGTTATTTTTTTATGATTTTATTTATTCTAAGCATCAATGAATGTCATACACATCGTGTAAAGCGTATCACCTATTTTGAGTTACGTGACCCTGCCCATTACTAGCATCAAAATTTTGGCCAAAGGCTTATCTCATGTATATTCATTTACAGCAAATAGGCATTTCAAATATTTTATGATATAAATTATAAATAGTTCCTGTACCAACGAAAAGTAAAAAGTTTAGGTATGTTTGGGTATGTTAATAAAACCATTTGTTTTTAAATGACACATTATTTAATTAAGTATAAGATTCATAAAAGTGGAAAGTAGTAAATATGGATCAAATTAATGTGGGCCTAATCATAAAAATGCAAATAAAATTCTGTCTTTCATTATCATTACAAATGTAATTATAACAATTCTGACGTTGGCAAATCCACTTTGGATAATAATTATATGTATTATCTTACATACTTTCTTATTTATTTTATATAATTAAAGTAAAAAAAAAGAATTCTATCACGCAACTCGAATTGCGAGAGGTAGGTATACGTATTATCGCCAAACGCTTTGTTATTGTATTGCCTATTTCAACTAAGTTAAGATGAATGAAAATCGCGTTATAATAGCATTCAATTAATGAGACGCAAACATTAGGCGTATACTATATCTTCGTAAATACATTTTACAAAAAAATAATATTTTGTAGGTACTCTTATAAAGTAGCCTATCTTAAGATAATAGAGATGTGTGTGACACGGCAGCTATGCACACGACGTACTCGTATTTTATACGCGCCGACGACGCGCGTTTCGCCGTAAACGTTATCTGCGTGTAGTAGTGAATATATTCGAACGCGCGCAAACATCGCGTTGCAAAAAAAAAAGCTTTTAAACTCCACTAGAGTTGACACTTTCAATTTTATGTAGTAGCTTCATTTAAAAAAAACTACTAAAATTAACTAACAGAACTAAAATTAAAACTATCTTTTATCAAAATGCGCGATACATACGCGCAACTCCAGCGCAACTATAGTCGTCGCAGTGCTGACACGTGCTGATACATGACGTACACAAAGTTGAACGGGAACGGCAACGCAAGATGATGACGACTTTTTAAACATTAATTATTGTCTCTGGCTGGTTAGTTGACATCTAACTGGATGGAACTGGATACTAAATCATATAAAAGAAATAGACAGATGTACTACCCTGGGAGCGTTCAAGCCCTATTAACCGATTGTGTTCAAAATGAGAATAATTATACAGGTGCACAACTTGTTGGTCCCGTCACTCGATACCATAAAAAAAATTATTTGAGTTAAATTTATACCTACCGAAACCTAATACCTACCTAAATGAAGGGGGCTTCAGAAAGATAAGGTACTAATAATTATTGTTGTTACTTTTCTAATAAGTACAACAATTTTAATGCATGAGTGGGAAATGATACTGTACTTTGGTCGACACGTACAGCTTTACGGATAAATGTAGTCTGTTTGTTCGTGAGGGGCGCGTTTGATCATTTGAATATAGGAGCCTCCGCATCATTAGACCAGGGGCCGTAGCTAAGCAAACGAAGCATTGCGAAATTTCAAAGTTCAAAGGAGAAAAATGTCAGAGGCAGTCGTGTATCATCGGGAAACATATTTCACTGATATTTTTATTTTGAAATGTAAAAACCAATTAGAAATCTTTTTGTATACAAATGACAAACACACTGTAACATTATTTTTATTTATGTCAGACTGTTAAAATTCTATATCATGTGTAAATTACTAAGCTTTCACGAATAGAAGTAGACTTATGATGGTTACTTTTCCTATGTCAATCGTACTGTGCTGAGGCAATCAGTTTCACACAATTCGATGCCGTTTGTGACTTTGTTTTACCTATCATAACACAATATAAGACCTAACTACCTAAGCTAAGGCCGCGACCTAAAATAAACATCAACCTCACCAAGCAAAATCAAATAGGTATTAATAAATTATAACTGTATTGAAAAAATAAAATATTATGATTATTATTATTTCGGACATCTATGTTAGACTCACACCTCTTCCATGGCCTAAAACATTAGTATTATGATTATTATTATTTCGGACATCTAATTTAGACTCTCACGTCTTCCATGGCCTAAAACATTAGTATTAATATTATTATTATTATTGTTATTACTATAAAGACATTGCATAATTTGTATATCACTAAATTCATATTTTTTGTTTTTTAGCGTACATGTTACTAAAATAGTTCTTAAGGTTTTGTAACTAATGTACTATGGACTTATTTGTCTGAAAATAAATAATTTTTATTTGTATTTATTATTTATTACATTCTTATTACATAGTACATTCTCTAAAACATAAAAAAATCCGCCTGTACCTGAGTTGACAGAGCACAGCGGTACAGCGTGGTCACAAGTTCAAGTCCTGTCGGGTTGAAGGAATTTTTCTTAGTGTTCGATCTTTGTATAATATAAATAATCACAACACAATAATGTAGTTATTTTACAAAAAATATATGAATATCATGACGGTACAACATGGTGAAAAAATTAATTATAAAAAATAAAATAAAAAATATTCTCTGAACATGATGTGTCTATACCTATATAATATACCGCCTTGAGCTACTTTTGGACGTATCATCCCATCTCAATTGTGGTCGCTACATCTAATACATGGTAAAAATTTCTGTCAAAATATTGGGCATATTTTCCAGGATCAAGAGGTACTTCACACCAGAACACCTTTAAAATCTTTATCAAGCACAACTTCGATCGCTTACGGAGTACTATGGTATAATATATGGCCCTGCCCAATGCCAGTTAGATGTCTCGAATTCAGTGGAGCGAAGAGCGAAGAAACTAATTGGCAACGACTCTCTTGTGGAGTCGAAGCTTCTAACTCTCGTTCATTGCATAACAATGGAGTCATACTCCGTTCTACTAACTCCTATAATACAAGGCTTTTCTGAGAAATTAGCAGTAGGGCTAGCACGACAGGGCGCACCTTGCGCGAGAGCGACATAAAGCGCGGGACCTCTATGTATATCGCTCTAGCAGAAGTTGCGTCCTGTCGTGGTAGCCCTACAGGTTAATCTGTTTAAATGATATGCGACTAAAATTATAACATGATCAAATCTGTATTTTAATGTGATTTGAGTATGGTTTAAAGCAGTCGAAATCATACTTAAGTCCCTGCCATTAGGGTCGTATTTCCAGTGCTTGTGTTGCCAGTGCAATCCTGACTTGAGAATTGAATAGAGTTCTAGAATACGACCTTAAATGTTGTACCCTTTTAAAATTAGTATTATTATATTATTTAATGCATTTCGAGCGCATAAACTTAAAGTCTTACCCCCACCGTTCTTCCTTTGAACTAGTAGGAAGACTTCATCCGTAGCCAATGGACTAACGCCCAATCGCACGAAACGCGTTGTATCATCCTTCCCGCTGCATACGGTATACGAAATGGAATATACTAACGGCATCTTGAAAACTACAATTCAATGTTATTAAGTTTTTGTATAATAGTTTTTCTCTTAACCCAGTGTTTAAAAATTTAAAAGTAATTTTAAATTTAAGTTTAACGTCCCCAGACCTAATTTTGAAAACAATGTTATTTTTGAAATCTGTCCCATGTTTTTGTATTCACAGAAAAGCACCGATGTTTTAAATACGAATAATTTATTTTTATTTATTATACCTTTAATTCGGACAACGGGGTCCATAAAATTGGTTAGTGATAGTTAGTTTTCTTAGTAGTTATGTTAGCAAAAAGAAAAAACATATGAATATTTATAATGGTGTTTGTCAGCAAATTCTTTTTCTCACAAACACCTTTTGCTAACAAGGAAATGGCGCATAATGGGGGAATCATATCTCCCTACCACAGTCATCAGGATTGAGTTGGCGCTGGTCCGCAGTCTGCAGCGCAGCGAGGCTGTCTATTTGCGCAGGATGGCGTAATAGTCATCGGAACGCGCCTGCGCAAACATTCTGCAGAAGCGAAGCAGCCCCATCAACATCCTGAAAGCGTTATAATTTTATTAGACGCGAACGGCGCTAATGGCATTCTGCGTAAAGTTGGACCACAGGTTGCCTTTCTAGTGTACTTGGCAATAGGTCTTGAAAAGCGTGAATTAACCTGCTTACTACAGCGCGCAAACCATCGGGCCAACATGTTACATCTGACCGCCAGCAGCTTTCGCATGTTACACCACACAGTCGCCGCGTTGTCCCGCGGCAAGGCGAGTTGCGATAGGGGCTACGTTACTAAACTTTGAAAATGACTTTGGTCGTTGTTCAGTATGTAATTACTAAATTTATAGAAGGTGGCGTACAGAAGCAGTAATAAGCCCCGATACATATCGTCGGGGATAGTGCAATTACGCATAACTAGCATTTGATGATGAGTCTCCTCCATTTCGGTAATTTAGTCGCCAAATCAAATCCGCGTAACTGTCGTGGCAACCAAATTAGCGTGATTTACGGGAATCTATTGTTATCAGTCCGTAGACAACATAAATTAATGCTTATTGTGCAAAAATGAATGTTGTAGACATTGAAATAACAAAATTAATAACGTTAAATCCCTCTCCTGTGAAATTTGGTTTGGTGAAGATACGTGCTTTTTACCAATACTACATATTATACGGATTTACACTATACCCGACGATATCTACCTGTACTCGCATCCGGCCACTTAGGTACCATTGATAGAAATAAACCCAACATTTATTTGAATATACAAACGCTTTACCACAATGTGTACTTGTATATCAACAAAATTCCGTTTAACCAAATTAAAGTAATAACTCAGATTCCAAAGTACTTTGTTATTGCCAAATGTTTATTACTTTATAAGTAAATTAACAACTTAGAACAAATTCAAATTCTTTATTGCGTTCCATTTCCATACCGGTATAATTTTCAACTAAGTTAATATACTTTTAGAAAAATACTAGATGAATTACATACTTGTTATTAGTCTAGTAATAATAAGTTAAATTACAATGATAGGTTAAACATTCTTAGAGATATAACTTTAGGTGCTGAATTGATTATTCCACAAATAACTGTAGAAACGGCACAGCTCCGCGTAGTATTATACGCAGACTATATTTATAATCTACCTGCAGCATGTGATGCGTATTGCTTGGTTAGCAATTTGTCACTTATACTATGCAGACCGAACAATATACACAAGCCTTAAACCAACGTATTTCACTCTAACACCTACGTCCATCCTAATAATATGAGATCCACAGTGTATGCGATTAAAAAATAGACAAACTTTCAGAAGTAGAAATCGCAACATTGCTTCACTTACCAACTTTCACAGTAATGACGTACTGGTTTTACAAAAGCTAATAGCTGTGCGATCTATTGAGCCGTATCCCCAACGAAACGTCTTGTGGCTAAATGATTCGTGATGACTTCAGAAAACAGTTTGTAGACGTATTTCAAGAAACAGATGGGCCTGTAGTTTTTAAGTAAAAATTTATTTCCCTTTATGAAAAACAGAAATACCCAACTTCCACGTCTGAGAAGTTCTGTCATATTGAATGTTCTAGCTAAAGAGAGTCTGAAGTTCCTTAAATAAGAAACTCCCCCAGACTTGAGAGGTTCAGCTTTTCGTGTTTTCGTTTCTGTGTTTTTTTATGATATCGAGTAACGGGACGATCTACTCATCCGCCTGGTGATTACCCACATGTCCAAAGTTCTGAGTGGCACTGCAACTGTTATGGACTAACAGTAGCAGTGCCACTCAGAACTTTAAATAACAAACATTATTTGAAGAGTCCAATGTGGCAGTAATTTCACCATGCTTGTCCTTCAAAACTGAAACGCAGTAATGCTCATATACGGCTTGGCGACAGAAAAAGGTAAGATGGCACTACTTTCCTGGACGAACTGTTTCACAAGGAGCTTTACTGCTACTAAAAGTTGTTGTTTTGGAACTAATATGATTTCGTCTGGGCTGATTTTTGGTAGGTCGCCTAGTGACGTTTCACGTGAGCTCTGCTATCGTGATTCGTTCGACAATCTGGTGTCCATTTAACCAATATGACGATTTCAATTTTAATTTGCGAACCTGTGAATAAACATATTTTAATTTGATTGATTTTTTTGGGAACTATGTCAATACTTAGTCGATAGATTGTACCCTTTCATTAATAAAATGACATTTTGAAGACAACTGTATACGTTTCAAGCAAGATATGTTCGAGGTTCAGTTACATGAAAGAAAGAACTCCTGATTTGAAATAAACTGTAGTATTGGCATTTGGTATACCGTCACACGCAAAATAGGCGCTTTGTCGTCGAGTTGCGGATACCAGCCCGTTGCACCAAGTACCAAGTTGGTATACCGTCATTATACATATATAAGGGGGCTACATTTTTTACAGCTCTTTAATTAATGCCTGTTGTGAAACGTCAGTGGCAGCGCTCGTAACCCGTTAATTACTGTTCTTGAGGCCATTAATATCCTTTATTACTGACCTTCTCTCCCCACGCTTTCTGTACAGAACAGCAAGAACACTTTTACTGACGGAAATATATTAGATGGTCTATCACGTTCCGTTTTACAACTTTAAATAGAAGATGAACTTAGTCAACGAAGCAACAATTCAACAGTAAATGTTCCAGCACCGTTTATAACTGCTATAATGTTTATTTTTCCTTTTATAATTTTTGACACATCGCGGTAAACTTTTAGCATGAGTCAATTCTCGCAAAACAAGATGTTAAGTGATCATACATCTATAAACTTACTTCCGAACACCTCTTAGTACCTAATATAAAAAATATTAGGAAATTTTATATTCTATATTTGACACTGGCTACCAAAACACGCTTAGGTACAAATCAGTCCAGGCGGCTTGCTTCTTTTTAATTAGTAGTATATTATCTTTCTATCTCAACAATAAATTAAGTAGTCCTAATCAAGCGTGACTATTCACTATTCTAATTATTATCATAGTATTTTGCTGGTGAAATTACAGGCACATGAGTGGGACTTGTCAACTCATGTCTCAAGGTGACGGACGCAGTGGCAGTTTGTATAGAATTACCATTCTTGTCTTATCATTATGTTATACTACACTACTACATGAACATCTTACTTACAAATTTTCTCTTATTAAATACCAGATGGTTCCAACGGCGTTTAATAAACAATGCGCGCCAGCTCACCTGCTGTTACTTCCACGGAGAGTACTGAAGAGTTATCCTAATAACATTTCTAATTAAACTTTTAGGGTGTCTCTCGTACTAATGACGTATCTTGGGATAAAGTTTTATCTTATCGGAGAAGGTGAAAATATATGCAAATCGCGGCGGGATGTACGCACCTATCCTCACCTAGGCAAGGGCAACATTTGAATATTCCAAACAGGGCAAATGCGAATTTAACGACCAACATCTGAATATTAATTAACAAACTTCAACCCGATATCGCGAGCCAATTAACGAGACTTTGATTGTTTTTGTAATTAAACCATTCGAGTCCTTGCCACTGCTTTGGTTATATTACTCTTAAAATTGTATTCACTCAGTTGCATAAAATAAAATCTCTTTTGTTTCAGATGCGACAATTTATTGTTCCTGTACTGTTGCTCGCAGCAGTGGCACTCTCGTCAAGCAATGTACTTCCAATGATGTCCACAAACCAGCTGGAGTCTGAAATCGCCGTAGAAGGCCAACAAAATGACAATATATTTAGTAGTAGGTTCAACCCTAGAGACATTGCGAACAAAGAATTTTACACTACACCCGTTCGTGTACCACAACGTAACACATTTTTGAGACAAATAGAAAAGTTTAACAAAAACAATCTTCGAGCAGAGGAGATTATTAACAACGTCGTGAATGATGAGGATTATTACGATGGTGAAGGATTTCGGAAAAAGCAATGGCATAATTACCCGAGACAATTAGACCGGCTTCAAAAGTTTCTATTCTCATCGCACAAAACTGATAAAAGAACTCCTGAGACCGACGATCTGGACAATCCTGAAGGCAATGACTCAACGGCATCTAGTGATAGAATTGATGATATATCAACCAACGAATATTTTCTTCATAGTGACGGAAGGCACAACATTTACGACGCAGTAGTAGCTGCTACTAGCCCCTTGTTAATTCTTAAAATTCATTTAGCGTGTTTCAATAAGGGAATTAAGCATTCGTTAACTACAGAGGATGAATTCCAAGTTGAACCTAAGTTTGTAAGCGAAAACAACATTGATGAGGAGAATAAATTCTCGAATAAAATAAACCTCGGAACGAAGGTAAAACGAGAGGACGACTTGTCGTTGGTTACTGGTAATTCAGGTGGGTAATTACAATGCACTTAAATTCATTCCAGTAAAATCTTCGAAACTCCTATTGTTTTATTTAGAAAGGTTATAAAATGAGATACGCATTTGTCAAGATTGACAAGTGGATCGTAAACCTTGACAAAGTTATTTTTAGCCGTTTTTTTAATTCGTTCCGCCAAGGAAAAGGCAAATGCCTGTCATGAAATCATAGAGCCAAGTCTTGGTGAATTTTTCTTTTGGTAGTTACAAACATTGACATTGATAGACTTTTATTTGATCAAATGTTTTAATAACAATACGGGTTTGCAGAGTAAAAGTACTCAAGATATCGATTTTCAAATAGTAAAGCAGCCACTCTCAAGTAGTATTGTAAAGTAAATATAACAAATAAGAGAGTTAGAATGAGTAATATACATATCGAGTTCTTAGGTTTTCGCGATTGTTACACACAGGAAATGAAACTATTTTTCCGGATTTAAATCGCGTATATTTGTTTTTTCAAGCAAACCGACGTTTCATGGTCACGGTTGACTGAGGTGGTACAATCTTCAACCAGTTGTCTAATATTGATGCAAACCATCCTACTTTTTCACTATAGCAATAGTTATTAATTAAATACCTTATTTTTAATTTTACAAAGAAAACATTCCAATTTACGCTACATTAAGTTTTACAAATTATTTTATTGAATGAATTTTTATTAAGTTCAATTTATTATTAATTAATAATAGAAATTAATTGTAATTTTATTATTTAATTAAATTTAATTTTATTTAGTTTATTCAAACTAAAACATATTAATTAGTACTGCAGTCTTATGTCTGTTTGGGTATTTATCATTAGAGGAAATACTGGATCCCAAACTGGTGGCACGGAGAAACCATCTTCCATGTTGAAATTAGGATGTTTTTTAATTTCAATGGCCTCTCGCAGCATCCTGGGTAGATAATGGACTTATTTTGCAAGGACCTGGGGTATGTCAAACTTCATTGAATGTGAAGGTTTATCCATGACGTGCTCGCAGACTGCAGACAAACAAATATATGCGATTTAAATCCGGAAAAATAATTTCATTTCCTATGAGTAATAAACATTTCTCTTTGAATTACTTTCGACAGGTTTTAAAATATCTCAAGTATCTTATTAAATTCTCGAGAAAACACAAATCAAGTATTTTTTTTTTTCAGATAACGTACCAAGTTCAAAAAAAACCAAGCGTCTATTCTCCCTATGGAGTAGGCTTCAGACGCTGTCACACAAAGGTCACGAACTCCCACACCGACGGCACCTAGCGTTCTACGGCTTCCCAGATGAAGAGTCCGGAGGCAGCACCGGTACGCTCAGCTCTCCACAGACCAGGGCTACCTTCGTACGTCCTCCAGGGTCGCCTTTACGCTGGGGATAATTCACACCTTTAAATCGTGGAGTCCTCATTACACGTCCAGTTTTCTATTTGTTTATGGTGTTATTGCATACTGAGTTCTAGTTAAATTTAACTTTTAAGGAACATTCACTGCTAGTAGAGTTTTCTATAAAACTGTATCAAGAGCTTATTGTTTAGTTTTCTCGCGATTTGTTTGATTATTCCTACTACTCTATATTACGTTATTCGAACGTTATGTGTATTTGAACAAGCAATAACTTTTTTCAATTTTCATTAATTTAATAGCCGGACTCCACCATCTATACGCCCCAAAAGAAACCTCGCTTGTTTTATTTCAAATTATGAAAATTAATAATTAAAATTAAAATAGAAAACGCATAACAAAACTGAAAAGTACAATAAAAAGACCAAATCGTCTCTGTTAGATCATAGTAGATATTTATTTACGACACAGATTTGTATTGACTGTTTGTATTATTAAACAAAATATTATAACGGTAGAATCGACTATCTATGTATAATAATAATAAGTATTAACGGATGCTACGTAATGTAAATTTTAACTGAAATGTGCTTAATTGAGGCTTTGTCCTCTCTAAGAGGACACATGCTTTAATCCTTCACTTCCAAATCGTACCTATGAATATCTATTGTGTCTGTAACTTTCACGAAATAAATATTTTATGAACTTTCATAGTGGTAATAAAATAATTACGTACTCAATATATCTGTAAATAAATACAGTGTATATCAGCTTTAACTGTTTGTTTTCTTATACCCTGTCGAATGCGACCGCCACTTTGATACAGCAGCTCCATCTCTTTTTAACTGTGAGAACTACTATGAAATGACGCAATCCATGTCGTCTGTAAACTAAATGTAAACAGGCCCAATCGGCACAATCTTTAAAATCACGTGTGTTTCTGTCACATACAATTGATAAAACATACAATTTAGTTATAATATTCGATTTCTTAAGAACGACAGTACAACTCATCAACATGGCAGTAAGTCTCCTTAATATTTTTATGCCTAAACAACATAACCTAACAAAACACGAATAGATTATTGGGCATAATATTAAACTGATAACCTATGCCGAAAGGTAAATTTACCTGTATCGAATTTATATATTGTTAGAGTGTATAGATTGATAGTAGGTATAATTACAGGATCTTATAGTGAAACATTTTGATATTTATGAACAAGAACGTATTTTTATTAGACACACTGATTCTGTGCAAAGAATCGTTACACCAATTTTATTTTTGTATATTCTTTTATAGAGCAGAGCATAGAATACCCCAAAAATTACAGAATGTAAGTCGAAACAAACAAACCTTGTACGTTCGGCCAGCAGTCCATATTATTATGTCGTGTTTACTATCTCGATTTCGACATTATCAATTTATTGTCAGAGTGAAACCTCGACTACATATGTTTACATATTTTATTTAAAGTAATTTTTATTACAACAAAACTTGTTTAATTATGTGTTTCATTAGAGTAATATAGCATCCAAGATAGTTATAATTAAACTAATCTAAATGCTAGCTAATTTAAAAAACAAACAACGTGTTTGATATTTATATACAGGATTATTTTTAAAACACTAAGAACCTCGAAGGACTATATTATTAGTAATATCCTGCCCTGCGAGGAAAAATTGGAACAAAAATAATTGTTCATGATGTTAGCATCATTTGAATATATCACTCTAAACGGTGATAATCTGGACGGTGCTCTGCATAAATGAATTAACCCACAGAAAATCGTAAAATGGCTTATGAATGCTATCTTTACACCTTGGGACATGACGTTTAATATTCTTTTCACTAACATCATTAAGAAAACTCGTAGTAAATAAATTTAAAAAAATCTTTTCCCAAAACCTAGTGCGGAAAAATATGTTATTATGTGGTTAAGCCATGACTGCGAATTGCAACTCATACCAATCAATGTGGTTTGAAACTGTTTTTAGGTTTCATTTAAGTACGCCTAACTCATTTTATAGCGTATTGACAAAGTAAATACTTAAAATTTTGTTGATGATAATAATATGAACAGACTGGAAAATGATACAGATTCTGGAACCGAGACAAATTCTTGTTTTTGCAGTAAAAGTTCCCTTATTCTAATCGCACATTGATTAAATTAAAATTAAATTTATATTATTAAATTAAATGAAAAGGAATGAAGGCGAATGTGAGTAAGACGAAGGCGATGATAAGTGAAAGGGATAAAAATGGAAAAGTGGGGACGAGTTTGGTAGCAAGAGGGCAAAAAGGGGAAAGAATTTTGTATAGTCTATTGATAAGAGATGGTTAGTGTTAAGATGATATTGAACGAAAAGTAATAGTCGAAAACAGGTAAATAAACTCTATATGTCTTTAATGTTAACCAGAACACGTCTAGAAAGTGCTGGTTCTAACCCTCATGTCCGGTAACGAGTATCGCGTGTGACAGAAGAAGTATGAAAATAGGGTAAATGCAGTACTTAAATTAGACGCTTATAGAAGCGCTACAGTGGCGCCACTACTAGTGATGCTGTAACCGCGCCACTACTACTTTTCATACAATATTTAGAAGCACAGCTACAACGAATTTTTTAGATATTGTGTGAAAATAAGTTGTGCAGACACGCCACTGCAGCTTCTGTAAACATCTAATATAAAGGTGCCCTTAGTGTTAAAGACAGAATGCCGAACAGAATAAAGAGCGTCGTCTAAATGAAAGATAACGTGGACATGAAAAAAGGATGGATATTAGGAGATTTAAACGTGGGACCTCGGTGCATGTCTCGATCAGATTGACAAAAGACACCCCGTCTTTAAAAATTTCAGGTTAAAAGTATCAAGAAGAATAACCGAGCGGA